AAAGAAAATAAGAAAGAATACAAAACCAATACAACTTGGCAAACTAACTAACTAACTAAATGAAATAAAAGGGAAAATCCAAACAATCTTTTTTTTTTTTTTTTTCCTGCTTGTGTTTTGTTATCCATATAAGTGATTTTATTACTACTAATGACACAGCAAGTAAACAGAGCCCAAGACTGTGACAGGATTTTGTGATAATGTTGTAATCTCTGTGTGGGAGGACTAACAGCTCTTTATCAGCTACATATTAGCTTAAAAAATATTTACTGCTGTAGCCTAAGGAATATGATGATGCTTTGCCTGAAAGTAGGAAAGTGCTGAGACTGAATATAAGAATGGGTCTTATTAGTGGATGAAACAAGTAAAGGAGGAACTGTTGTTGGTCCTAAAATACCCCCAAAACAACTTAGATGGAGAATAACTGGCCAAAATACTAGTGGGGAAGGGAGAAAAAAGCTCAGACCTCTGCTTTGTTGCAGCAGCTTCCCAAAAGTATACTTCTACAGGGTTATTGCCTGAGTGAGTGAGGATCCCAGGCTGAGAAATGTGAGATACTTTGCCTGTTTACCCTCTCCTTTTCTGTATCTTCTGCTTTGTCTGTATGTGCTCTCCCAACTCATCCCTATTCCTTTGGGTGGATCCCAAAGGCTGGATGTGAACAAAAAGAAAGTGAAAGCTCTCAGTGTCTGTGAATACAGCCTGAGGTTTCTGTGACTTAGATGGACAGTGCCTGTAGATTAGGTGTTTTATTGATTATCTGCATAGAAAGTGGAAAATAAAAACATTTTGGATTCTAGCAGAAGCAGATTTTTTTCTTTCAATTTCTCTTCTGTTCAATTAAGAATCGGAGTAATTGCATTAATTTACAATACGTTAATAAATACTTCTATTTGTTTTGATCTTAACCTGGTTTCAGGTAAGGGTGATTTCTAGGTAATCATCTCTCTGTCCCTATGGGTTTAGTTACATTTAGAACAGGAATACTGGGATATGTCAGTAGTCTCTAGCTTTTCAGTATCTTGATGGTGATATCCAGAGGATAACAGATTAAGTTTCTTCATAGGGATGTCATCTACATAGTATAGTCTTGAAGCGGGCAGCATGGAGGTTACATGGAAAGAGAGTCTTCCAATGCCTGTCAATGACTGGAAAGCCTTCTAGGCCCTAGAACAATGGAAAAAAAAATAAAGTTTAATCCATTCCAATGCTCAGGGAGGTTTTGACAGTGCTTTCATCACAGAAAGCATGAGCATACACGAGCAACAGCACCACGGGCTGAATTATCTTAATACATGTACATGACATGTTTGAGTGTAGTTTAATTCTGGGACTGCAGCACAACTGGGAACGTTCTAAGGAGAAGCCTGCAGTGTGTGGGAGTCTGCCAAACAGTGCTTCTCTGAAGTCTTAATTAATTGTTAGCTATAGTCTGTGATGAAATCTAGTCCAGAAGGCATTGTATTAAAAGTGCAAACTGCTATTAGTGGAGTGTAAAGAGGTTCTTGCCAAAGTAGTATTTCTAAAGAAACTAGAGCCTCTGTAGTGAACTGCCAAAGAGCACAACTATTGTACATACAAGAACACCTGAGGATCTGGGAACCTGAGGGTACAGCTCTTCCTGTATATTGATCTGAGGAAGCCATTCCATCTTTTAATTACATAAGTAACAAAATGGCACAGGGAAAACACCAGCTACATATTGGTTATGTGTGTAACTAATAAATGTATATTTAGGTTATCAACATTGTTTGGCATGAGGTGAACTAACATCCGATGCCTAGCTACATTGTTCTTTTGAAAATGAGAACGTGCTGATGGGCATTGGCTTAGGTTTTGCATGGTTTGTTCCTGAAAAAATATCTTTGTGTTTTCTCAGTATTGTCAGTAGCACTGTGTAAGACTTGTTCTGCAAGGACCACTCACCAAAGTATGCAGAGTTCATAGCCCTGTATTTCCAGCATTGCTCACAGCATACCTTGTCATTTGCAACATTTGCAACATTGGATCCTTACATTATTGCAGGATATTTCTAATTTTTTTAGACTTTGGAGTAAAAAACGGTCTGTATCACTAAAATTCTTAACCATAAGAAGCAACACCAATCAAAAAGGAAACCAGAATTAAAAGCAGTGACCTAGAATTGTGTTAATTATATGAGAGATATGTGACATTTCCTAAGCGTTCAGACTTTGAAAGGGTGCAGTGATAGACAGAGGCTATTCCTAATGAGGGACTGTACTGAAAGGTCAGCTGTCAAAAACAGTCAAGGATGCAGACAGGTCCAGTTCTCTGCTGCTTGTGTATTTAACAGCCCTCTCAGGCATCAAGACTGGGTCACTGTAGCATGCTATAAATCTTTGGAACAAGGGTTGCAAATATTGCAGTTTGTGCAAACCCTGAGTAAGGAGTACTGCAAAAGCCTGGCTTGTTCCTTATATGGTATTTTAATTGTAAACTCTTTGGAGCAAAGTCTACATGCATTAATTATTTGTACACTGTCTCAGTGGGAATTTGCTTACGTGGAACTTGCATATGTTCTTTGTAACATAAAATAATGAAACCGGTGACAATTGCTCTCTTTCTCTTTCAATGGCTAAAAGTGAAAACAAACTAGCCAGACTCTCTTGCTTAGCTCCTGTTTCATGTGTATTCTCTTGCTACCTCCTCACAACTGGCACTGCACTCAGAGCTGACAGCCATCTAAGGTAGAAAAGATGCTCTTTTCTTTCTGTCATCCAAAACACCTGGAGTATCTTCCCCACAGCTGAGGTATTTTATAAACTGAGTTACAGGCTTTGTTCTTGCATAAAATGTGACTGTTTCTTTACAAACTTGTTTGGTAAAGTTTCCCCCTTCATAACAGTCACCTGAGAGAGCCAGGAGCACAAATGATTTTATTACATGCAAATTGCCCTAATCAGTTCAAAGGCAATATAAAACTACCGCCCTGTAAGTTATTTACAATATTCAGCTAAGCATCTATTTTCTTTTCACTAACAAATGCTATTTCTTACATAAAACACTAAGGATACTAAGGATCTGTACAGTAACATTTTAGTCTATATAGTTTTATATAGTCTTCTTAGTTTTATACAGTCTACAATTTGCTTAGCTTGCTCAGTGTCTTGTGCTGTACGCTGCATCTTGCAGCATCCCAGTTAAACACTTGAAAATCACTACAACACACTCCATGGACCTCTGAGTGCTTCCTTAAACCTAAAATCTGCTCTAATCAAGGCAGCTTTCTCTTTCATTTTGTTCTGGCACAGAATGAGCTCCTGGATAATTCATGCTTTATGGATTCACACTGCACCCACTATTTTGTTACATGTAAGGCAAAGAGAGCTGCTCTGCCTCCACAACAGCTCACTTTATAGCACATTGCCCAGGGTAACAATGAATATATAGACGTTAAGTGAATTCACTGTTGATCCCCTGTTACTGTGTATGAAATCTCCAGTTTAAGACAGATAGAACACTGCGCAGTCCCCCCCCCTCCTTTTTTTGTTACTTTTGAAGACACTGTATCTGTGCTGCCCATAGCTGTTGACCACTCAGGTGCTCCTTGGGATATTCTGCTTGCTGCTCCAGTTTAAAATACTCCAGAAGAAATGCAAGGTGGATGGATGTGCACCCAGAGCCCTACGTTAAAAGAGGATCCATGGCATGTGCTGCATGAGCTGCATGTTCCATTTGCACAGAGTACTGAGCGCCTCTGTAGCACCCATCATCTATGTCCACTCATCAGCCACGCTGATCAGGTCATGTGTCACAGCGCAGAACAGAAGACCTGCCATCTTAGTTACAGCAAAAAGCTTAATAATAATAATAATAAGTTAACCAAAAAGCTTAATTAGTTCATCCTTTCTAATGGTTTGGTTAGACTGAAATAGCCTACAAAGCATTCCCACAAGCAGCCCAGCTGGCATACCACGGGACAGGTAATGCTGTCAACCTCTTCTGGGCATTTTTCCAAGCAGCTGAAGGCCAAAGGTCCTTCCTCTCACCCAGCTGTCACTGGATGAGGCTGCAGACCTCCTGTCAAGGAAGGTGAGGCAGAAACAAAACAAAACAAAACAAAGTGTTTCTTTTCCAACTTCTGAGATTCCAAGTACCTGCTACCTACTGAGTCAAAATGGCTGAGATCGGAGTTGCTCGTTCCACGGAAAACACCCAGTGCTGCGTGCCTGACCTCACAAGTACAGAGACAAGGTGACAAGGGGAAAAAACAACACACACCACAGACCGTTTTTTATTTCTTTCTTTACTAAAGATAGGCCTGGAAGACTTTAGACGGCAAAGTCCTAACAATGTCATAGAACAATGAACCGTATCAGCTTTTTATTTTGGTGAATTCCTGTGTAAAACCCCTCTTCCTACGACTGCCCTCAGGTCGGACACAACCCTTTAAGGCGGCCGGCAGCTCCCGGCCCCCTCCCCACTGCACCTCAGGGCCGCGGGCACGCCGCACCTGGCAGCGGTTAAAAGCCGGGCCCTGAGGGGCGGCAGGGCGGCGGGATGGAGGGCGGCGCGGGCCGGGGGCTCCCCGGGGAGCTGCGAGTCCCCCCCCACCGGCTGTGAGTGCGTGCGGCGGGGACGGGAGCGCTCGTGAGGGGCTGGGCTGGGGCTGGGGCTGGCCTGGGGGGGGGGGGGGCAGCCTGGTGGATGTGTCGCGGTGGCTGTGTTGTTAGGGCTGCACTGGGGACTTCACACCCCGTGTCCTTTTTAACCAGCGCCTCCCGGCCTCGCTCTCTCCTGGCAGCGCCTCGCTCCCCGTGAGGGACGCGCAGGGAGGTGCGGGCGCAGGTGCCCGCCTGCAGCACGGGGCGGCCCCGCCCAGGCGCCGTCTCCGCCGGGCAGCGCGGGGGCGTTCTCCCCGCTCTGCCTCTCTGTGGTGCCTTTCCCTGGCGGGCGGGCGGCGCCACGCGCATGCGCCGTGCCTGACGCCGAGCGGCGGCTGCGGGCGGTGGCGGCGTCGCCGGTGGCCCCGCCCCCCGGGCCTCCGCCCCGCCGCGCCGCGCCGCGCCGGGGGGGCTGCGCCGCTGGCACCAGCGGGAGGCGGCTGGCGGCAAATGGTGGGGCCGGACGATGGCGGGGCTCCGGGCGTGCTCCCCGCGGGCCGGCGGGAGGCGGTGGCGGCAGAGGAGGAGGAGGAAGAAGAGGAGGAAGAGGAGGAGGACGGGGAGCGGGATGGGAGCCGGGGCTTGAGGCCGGGGAGCGGCGGGCCCGGCCGGCGGCTGCTGCAGCGGTACCTGGCGGCGCTCGGCCCGGCGGCGGGCGGGAGGCGCTGCCCGGAGAAGCCGGCCAACGGCGCCGCCCCGCACGCCGCGGGGGCGATGACCAACGGGGACGTCGGCTTCCTGCGGGCCGAGCCGCCGCCGGTCCCCCGGGCGGGACGGGCCGCGCCGGGCCACCATGAGGAGGAGGAGGAGGAAGCGAAAGTGCAGAACGGGGGCTTCCTCCTCTGCCCGCACGGCCCCGGCGGCGACCCCGCGGGGACGGCCCTGGAGGAGCCGCTGCGGAGCTGCTGCCTGCGGGGCGAGGCGGGGCCGGGCGGCGGCGGCAGCCCCCCGCCGGTAGCCCCGGGGCCGCCGCCGGGCTTCACGGACGTCAGCCTGGGCTCCCGCAACACGTACGAGGTGAGCCGCCGCCGCAGCGCCCCGGAGCACCTGCCCCGCGAAGGGACGGCGCCGCCGGGACCGCCGCACACAGCGGCCGAGCGGGCCCGGCGGGCAGCGGGCGGCAGCGGCTTGGCCGAGTTCTTCAGCAGGTACGGGCCCGGGGGAGGGGGCCTGGTACCTTCCCCTCGGCGGTGCGGGTGCTGCTGGGGGGCTTATTCCGCAGCGTGGTGCGGGAAGGCACCAGGGCTGGGCTTTGTGCTCAGATCGGTGGGGTGCCCGCTAAATTTCTGACACAGAAACTTGAACTTCGGGGCACCCGCCTGCATTGTTTTGTGGCATGTTTGTCTCTTTAATGAGAGCACCGCTAGGGAGATACCTCTTGACTATAACAGTTGACAGCGCACTCTGTACTACTTCTCTGAATTTAACAATGGGAGTTACATTTCCCAATTTCTAGTAGCTCTTAATTCCCAAGCCCTGGTGTTGCAGTTATGTGGTGGTTGCTCTGATAGCACAGCAGGTCTCTGAGTGGTTTGAGAAGACAATGAAATTAAATGTACTGACTGATGGGTTGATGTGAAAGAGCAGGGATTTGGTCTTAAGGCATGACCCTAAATTGAGAAACAGGCTGCTTCTGCCAGCCCCCAGGGAAGGGACAGATGGGTTTCCATCTGAGTTTAGGGTCAGCGTCACTTGTAGGGTGAGGTTGATGCCACTGCTTTGTGTCACAGATGGGCTGAGAGCTGTGCCTCTGTTCCCTCTGTGCTCTGTCTTCCATTCCCCGTTTTCCATGTTATGTGGCTGGCAGTATATTGCCTTCCCTTTGCCTCAGTGCTCTAACACTTTAACCAACTACATTATTCATTGCTTTTTGCCCCAGAGCAATACCTTAATGAAATTCTGGAGAACTTTGTCTCCTAGAAAAGGCTGAACTCGGTGTGCTGTTGAAGTTGTCAATATACAGTGACACTTGCTGCTTTCAGCAAAGACCTGGGTAATACCTGGAAAATTAATTGCTTCTACGCTGGCAAAAGCTAGAGTGCTGGCACCTCTGTTTAAAAAAAGGTTTGCTAGGGAGCTGATCTCCCAGCCCCTCACTGGCCCGGCTGGCTGCTTCTCTCGTGTGCTTGGCCTGGGCAGCAGTGATGGCTTCAGAAGCTCCGCTTTCAGCTCTGCATATACAGTTGTGAGAGCACTAGGATTACAGCTGATACCATTTTCGGCAGCCAAAATCTATTGATTCGGCAGCCAAAGATCTATTAATGAAGCACCCTTTAATGTTATTTGAAACAAAACTCAAGTTTCTATTACTTGATAAACTCATCTCTAGATAGAGTAACACTAATGTTTGTGTCCTCCATCGCTTGGAAAAGTGATAACAGTGTTCTTTTCATGATTTTTTTAGCAATCAATTCATGTCTTCTGATCTTTTTCTGATACTTTAAAGGCTTAGACTTGTAACATCTTTTTTTTTTTTTAAAGTCTTAGCAATTATTGGTTTTGTATTAATCTGTTGTGAGTTGGTTGTTCTCGAGTTCCTCAAAAAGAAACACCCCAGCTCTCAGTAATAAGGATAGAAATAGTTGAAAATAATCCTGTGACTGAATACTCGTAGCAACTACACCTCTTGTGAAGTTCCTCACCAGGTGATTGTGTGACTTTTTAAATGAGTACAGGGCCATAAATGATGTTGTTCCCCAAAGTTTTAAGCTGTGCTGGGTGTTGGTGCTCTATCAAAAGTGGTGGCTGTGCTAAATACAGGTGGTTTAGTGGTCTGGTGCATTTTGTATGGGATGTTTCACACTTGTAATGCTCTTTGCCTAATTCATGAGCTGTCTAAAATTTGATAGCTCCATTTTTTTTCCTCTCAATAGACATAATTATATGGCACTTTCCTTTAAAGGTGGATGTTTCTTGCTGCTGTTTGGTTAAGAGCAGAAGGCAGGCACAGGGAAGCCGCACTGCCTGCTGTGGGAAGGCTCTGTTGTTCTCTAGTTGCCCGGTCAGACAAACTCCTCTGGTGTGGCAGGTCAGGGTTAGGGGGCTGCTCTGTCCAGTTGCTTGTTCCCATCTCTAGCTGTCTGACTGGCCTGTTCTGCAGCTCTGTGAAATGACCTGGGGTAACTGCATTCACGTGAATGAACTGAGGAGAAATTGATCAGGGGAGGCCAGAGGAGAAGCAGGCAGCTGTGCACAGCAGCTTCTTTCCTGCCCTGCTATAGGGGGAGTGGCTGAGCCCTCTAGATATACAGAAATTTGCCCAAGGTCTTAGAATAATTGCTCCTGGCAGTGCTTGCAGCTATTTTTCTGTAGATATGGGGTGTAACAGTTGGTCCTGGGATCTTAAGTTGTCTTTGTGCAAAATTAGGAAGCCTGTCATATCAGTGCTAACAGCTTTTTACTGGAAAAATAATTGTCTTTGTCTTTTGGTTCCATGTCTTTGTGTCTTCATGTATGAAGTGGGCTGCCTCAAGTGAATTGGAGGTGTGCGGAGCAAAGTGCTGTGGCAAGGCAAGCTGCAGCTGTGGTCGTGTGCCTCCACTCTGCTGCTGCTATGGTCAGAGCATTAAGTGGCACCTGGAAAGTCACCTGCCACTGCTTTGTGCTTCTGTGTGTGATTCATAATGCAGTCCTGTATAGCCACTGTTCTTACGGTCTGAGGTCTTGCCTAGCAGCGTACAAGCGTGGCGTTCTCTTCTTAGGTTATTTGATCACTTTTGGGTAGTCCCAAGGGTTGATGTTGGGTTCAGGATGGTTTAGTGAGCAGTGTTGTGTGAACACTGCAATTAGGGCAGTGAGGGTTGACTTGGCCCCCAAAGCAGCACCTCTACAACAGAACAGGGCAAGCAGCAGTAAATCTCCAGGGGGAGAGATGAAGTCCCAGCAATCCTGTGCCTCTTTTGAAGGTGACTTGGACTTCCTATTTTTGCAAGCATGTACCAGGCACCTTCTCAGCTTGTGTAGCTATTGTTCCTTTCTGAATTGCATGTTTACCTAGATAAATTTAGGTATCTGGGAGCTGACAGAGTTCCTGATTGCTTTGTGGTTCCTGGAGTCAAAGCCTAATATTAACAATAGCAGCGATAATTTGTGATCGTAAAGCCCCATTTTCCCAAATCCTTGTTTTCCAGAATTCATCTAACAAGTTTTCTTTTCCTGGTAAAATCACAAAGACTTGAAATCACAGTTGCTGCTGTTCACAGGTCTTTAGAACATGCTGTGAGCAATAGTGGTAAGGGTTGCAAGTGTGTGGTAGTTGGCGTGCCTGCACTTATTTTAAAAAAAAAAAAAAGTCATTAGTCTCATCCTTCCTTCCTTAAGGGGAGTGGTTGCCCTTGCTGCCAGGAAGTCTTGACAAATCTTCACCCCTGGGGATGGTGGGAAGCTGGATGGAGCTGGTATGTGCAGGAGCAGAGAACTGAGAAATCACTTGAGCCCACATCTTTCTCCCTCTTTGTAAGCACGGCTCTGTGGTTTGCTAAGTAGGTAGGTCTTCAAAAGCTGCTGCTCTCCTTGCTCTGAAATATGTCCTTGACAGAGGGCTGTGGAAAGGCTCACACTGAGCACTGCTACTTGTGTACCGGAGATCTGTAGCTTGCATTTCAATTTATTACTAAGCAGCACCTGCAGCTCATTTAACTGTATAGGCACACCTGGGCTATGCCTGCATCTCCTGAATGGTTAATGCTAGAATTGGTATTTCTATTTGTATACAAAGCTTTTCAGTTTCATAAATCATTGTGGACTTCAGGGGAAGGACTGCACATCTGTTTTGTGGGTTTTTTGTCAAAAAGGAGTCAAGCAGGGAGTGAGCTGTCCTAGTTGCCACAGATCTTCTAAACCTTCTGTTTGTGTAAAGATCAAGGAACTGATTGATGGGGTTTCACAGTGATTAATTTATATTCCTGTATTGACTGTGCCTTTATCCTAGGCAGTTCTTGCTGGCATCCTGAAAGACTTGTGTTTTTTTTCCTTTTTCTGTCCAAATTAAAAAAAAAAAAAGTGGGTGTTGTGGAAGAGAACAGAGCTTCTAACAGGGAAATACACTGGCACAGTTTAAGAAAGGGAAAGAGAGAGGAGGGTTAAGGGACTAAAACAAAGCTTGCCCCAGAAACTGCAAGGGTACTCTTCACCCTTCTGTCTCTGAAACTTAGCTTCTTGTTTTCTGCAAGCAGTCTTGCAACTTAAGTGAAAAAGCAGATACTTCTAACTGATTAGAATGACAGCTGCTGGGTGAAAGTAGGAAAGAGCACCTGGACCCAAGTCTTGGAAGAATTGCTGTGGCTAACTTCAACCAGCATTCTCTTTCCCTGAGTTACAGGCATGACTAACTCAATATAAATAAGAAAAAAAACATTCATATTATCAAAATCAGAAGTTTTTGCATGGGTTTGCGTGGGTCACGTTCAATAAGAACGATTTGCATTATGAACTGTGTTGACACTGTGACTGGTTTCTGGCTTTAAGTCATATGAGTGACAAAATATATTGGCAACTTAAGTAAATCTGGTCTCCTGAGAGAGACAAAATGTAATAAACATATCAGGTCCCAAACTTTTTATTAACTGTTCACATGCATAACTTTACCAGAGGTGTGTGATTTTATTGTATCTCTACATATTTAAAGGTTGTCTCACAAATGCAGGTCTTGCCGTAGCAAATCAAGCCTGTACAAACAGCAGCCTTGTTTTTGTTTGTGAACGAGTTCCAAGCATCTCAAGGAAATGAGCAAATCTTCAAGGTCTATGAGTTGAAAATGGCTTTTGGAGAAAGTTTCACTCCTAGGCCTCATGTTATATAGCTTTTAGAGCTCTTTGTTCCTGAAAAACATGAGCAATGTGTGTTTCACCATGATTATTTAAGACTGTTGTGTAGCCGTTATCCTAGCCAAAACGATGGTTGTTGAGTAGCGAGCCAAAGTTCATGTTCTTGTGCACAGGCGGAAGAACATGCATTGATTTAACTCTGGGTATGGATCAGATTGCTGTATGGCTACAACTTCTGTCTGCAGCCTGCTATTTTTTCCTGAAAAGCTGATTAAACAGATTGTACCTCGAAGACTCTGACGCTGTAGGTATAATCTTCAGCAGTTTAAACTACCCTGAATATTATTAACAATTTCTCTGCTGCCTTTGGTAGACAGTGTAAT